AAGTTGAAACGAAGCGAAAAATACGCGGAAGAAATGGATAGATCGGTTGATCAAAGTGATTGATCCTATTATCGACAAAAAAAAAAAATTAGTTTTATCTTCTTTAAATATAGTTTCGAGGGAAAAATCGTGGAAATGATTTTTTTTTATTTTAAGAAAATTATATTTAGGGATAGAAATGTGTAGGATGTATAGCGGGAAAATTTGTAATGAAGGAATAATAAAAATAAAAAATAGAAGAACATAGAGATAAGGGTAGTAAAAATACGCGAAAGATGGATGGGTTCACTGGTCAAAGTGATTGATTCTATTATTGGCACGGCGAAAAATTAGTTTAGTTTTGATGTTTTTTAAATGCAGTTTCGAGGGAAAAATTCATGGAGATACGAGGAAATAATTTTTTATTTTAAAAAAATTTTATTTAGAAAGAATGTTAATAAGAAAATTTATAATAAAAAGAAATGAATCTATGAATAAGAAAAATAAAACAAAATAAAAAAATACATAGACGTAAAGGAAGTAAAAATACGCGAGAGATGGATGGGTTCGCTGATCAAAGTGATTGATTCTATTATTGGCATGGCAAAAAATTAGTTTAGTTTGATGTTTTTTAAAAAACATAACGTCGAGACAAAAATTGAGAAAGGATACGAGAATATAATTTTTTTATTTCAAGGGAATTATTTTTAAAAAATTTTGTAACAAAGAATCTATGAATCAATAAAAAAAAATATGGAGATAAAAATAATAGAATAATTCAGAAAGTGTATAAAGAGAAGAGTAAAATGAATAATGGAATTTAAAAATTGAAAAAAAAAAAACAAAAGAATAGATAAAATATTTTGAAAATCTACAAAATTCATTTTGATTCAATATAAATCTAAAAATATCTCTCAACAATTTTACAATCTAGAAAACATTTATGTAATCACTATACTAAATCATAAAAAATCAATAATTTTATTTACAAAAACTTCACTTCTCATCTCTTTATTCAAAAAAGATAAACATTAAAAAATCAGAAAAACTATAAATAATAAAATATTTTGTCGATATTTATTATTCATAAAAAAAAAAAATCAAGATAACAAAGATTGATGAAAAGATTAATCAAAGATTGAGAAATTGTAGATTTATTTAGAGATTATATTTTTGTTTAGAGAATATTGAATATTTATATGGAATCATTTATGCAACAACATTGTTACACGTTAAACAACCATCATGTTGGAAATATTCTCAAGTCTTGGAATGACGAAACACAATACGTATTTTTCTGCACAAATGACAGAATGCATTGATATTATACTTTCAAAGAGATTTATGTTTTTTTCTGAGGATAAATCCACTACCGAAGAAAAAAAAAACAAGAATACTTGGATTTTAAAAATGAGTTCTTTACTGTAAGTGATTTAATTATTATATTAAAAAAATATATGATTTCATTTAAGAAGATAAAAATGATTCGTATTCTCTATATATATTTATATTGTCTATATATTTTTTTTGTCTGAAATATTTTTTATTATCTTCAATATTTTTAGTAAATCGATTCAAATAGGAAATTGTTATAATTAGACATTTTATTAATTTAGAATAAATAAAACGGTAAAAAAAAATAAAAAAAAATATTATCGAGAATTACATTTATAATAACATAATAAATAATAAATTCATTTTTAAGATTCATTTTTATTCATATCATTTTAGTACACGTATCTTTTTGTATTAAAAGCTTACGGAAATATCAAATTTTACATAAATTTTAGTAGATAACTCGAGCAAAAAATTAATTTTATGCGTATGGAAAAGTTAATCAGAGGCAAATTTCGTTACAGTATTGCCAACCGTGGCCGTAAGTAGTTCCAAGAAAAAGGGAAAAATTACGTATCCCGCGGACCGATTAACATAATTTGCCTACCAAAGGTTCCTCGAACTTCTTAGAAAACTTTAATACGCTTCTTTTCTTACTTTTTTTTTTCTTCTTCTTTTTTTTTTTTCTCTCTTGATGAGAGAATTTGCACTTCAAGAAGTGGGTTACCCCGAAAGTTCGAAGTAATTGGCTATTTTAGCTTGTGAATATAAAAAGGAACACATTGACAAAGAAAACGAATAACTTTCCAATCAAAGCAATACAAGTGATTCTTATTATTTTTCAATAGATAATTTCAATAATAATATTATTATTCAATAAATAAATTTCTAGTTGTGTAAATCGCCAATCAATGTATTTTATTTGTTAAATTAAAATATACAATTGACTTTCATAATTGGAAAAAAAAAAAAAGAAAATGAAAAAATTTGATAGCATATAAGCTTCTGCAACAATTTGTATAATTCGAATATTTTTTATATTTTATTATTAATTTTTTTATCAATATTAAATTATATAAAAATAGTATTTACATTTATTATACGTGAAAAGTTCGTTTAATTTTAAATAGAATGTTCAATACTTACTATTTGGGTCGTGTATCCATTTCTTCTTATCTCCCACTTTCATTATGCGCGTGTCATCCTGTAACAAAAGAATATATTAATTAAATCATACATCTTTAATTTAACTTTTCTTTCCGCATTTCAATTATTTATTTAAAAAAAAAAAGATTTTGAATTTATTCATTATTTTTCAATAATTCTCTACAAATATGCCTTACATAATTTTACATAAAATCTTATAATGAAATTCTCTTCATCGTTACATAACAACGAGTAATCCGTGCTATGGTAATCAGTAAACAAAGAAACGATAACAAAGCTGTTGTTTAAACCAGGAATAAAGTAAAACAGAACAGAAGCAAAGAAACAATCGCTTTTTTTCGAGGCAATTAAGGCAAACTCATTTCCCTCTGTTCTTTAGGTTTTTTAATGAATTCTAGCCGTTTTCTTCGATGCGAAATATGCAAAGGAACGCAAGCTGCATTTTTTAATGCCTGTTGGCATCGAAGGTCATGACCCGTGTCACGAAATTCATGCTTTGTTCGAGCTTCGTTCTGCGCTAGAAATTTTCGCTTAATATATATACAACCTTCATTGCGATCGTGCTAAAGCGAAACGATGAAGAAATATTCGTTCATCACGTGCATAAAATTCAGGGTTGTTCGGTTAAAAACGAAACGTTTCGAAGTTTAGGCCGAGGTCGTCTTGTGATACATATGCCACTAGTAAGGTTAGAAGTAAAGGAATATTGATGAAAGCTTGCGTGATAGTTCATGTGCCAGTTTGCAACAATTCGAGGATAATATCTAATATAACTAAGGGGGAAATTTGATCTAGAGGAGCTAAATACTACTGTTGATCAACTTTCTTTAGAGAGAAATTGATGAATGGAGAAATTGTTGAAGAACAGAAAGAGATATCGTTTAATTATGAATATTTTTTTCAATCAGATTCAGAAATTGAGAATACTGAAACAACATTTTGAAATTATTGAATTTGAAACTTTTAAAAATGGTATTAAACACTTCCCTCCCTCCCTCCCCCCCTCCCTTCTCCTCTTTTGTTCTTTTTTATTTTTATTCTAGATTTTCTTTTTTATCTCTTTTTTTCTATACACATTTTTTTTGTTTTTCTATTTTCTAATTATGTTAATAATTTTTTTTTAGATATTTTTCTATATATAATTTTTTTTTTACATAATTATTTTTTCAATAATTTTTCTTGAATTGTAAATTTTGAATTTAACAGTATGTTTTTTTTTTTAAATTACCTCACATTTTCATATTTGTATTTTTTATTTATATAAATTCTATTTTTTTTCATTTTTGTTTTAAAATTTTTATTTTTCTTCTTTTCTTCATATTTTTTTTTTTTTTTCATTTTATTTTCTATTATATATTCATTCAAAACATTTATTATTTTTATATTTCTTTCACATAAGATTATGTAAATTTATACCAATTTACACCAATTTAAATAAAACTACAATTTATTTTATTATCTCTATCTTTAGTTCTTTTTTTGTTTTTCTATTATTTTTTTTTTTTCGAGGAAAACAAGTTAGAATAATAGAAGAAAAACATTCGTATACATATTTCAAGAGAAATTCTTTTTATTTTCTTATAAGAATTATGTAAATAAATATCTTATAAAGATTTATTTTCAAACTTATATTATAACAGAATTGTTTCATAAATTTATAAACAAATATAGTCTGTTTTTATAATGAAATTTTAAATTGAATAAAAAGTGATAATATTCTTCTTTGTCTTATGAGAAAAAATTTCAAACTAAGAAATATTATTTTACAGAAGAAATTATTTAAAATCCTTTCATAAATTCAAATAATAGAAGAATTTATATAAAACGACATATATCTCTTCCAATATCAAGAAACAAGAGGAAATTAATATAAGAAGAAACACGAAAAATCATTTTTCAACAATCAGGAATCGAACTCTGGCCCACCGGGTGATATCTTGGTGACGTTACTCATTACACCATCAATGCATGCGATGTCTTATTTATATTTTTAAGTATTTAAACACAGCGTATCATTGTTCCTATATATTCAATCATTCAAATCTCATAATATCATTTCAGAAATAATGTTCATCAATTTTTCTCAAACAATTATCCCAATTATTTCGATATTTTTTAAATCACCTTTTACCTTTCAAAAATATAAAACCGACATCAATTCGTAATATCGACCGCAGTGATATTTTAATTTCTATGCAAATTGGGCGACGTTTTGAACTTACAGGCATTGCTACTGTAAAAAAAAAAAAAAAAAAAAAAATCAGAACAAAAATTCAAGAGTATTACGAGTTTTCGTGGTCGAATCATTTATCGCGTTTTCCATTTTACTAAAAGCGCAATTTTTGTTGTTCACAGTGTTAAACATTCCCTTTGCCGTGGTGCAAGTCTTAACAAGCGTTAAACAACAACCACCATCTCCTCGTCGTCGCGTTTGGCACGAGTATACAATTAGAGCGGAATGATATTTTGTAATTAGCAGTATAACGGGTCTTTCTCGGCCCGAAATACGAAGATGCACAGGGAGAAAGAGGGACACTTGAACCGTTTCACCGCGTTTCGGACTTTCAAATTGGCTTGGGGAATCGGTGCAATTGGGAAGAGAGAGGCCTGTAATTATCATCGAGCGGAATAAGGAATGGACTAGGTCGAAAACGTGGCGCAACGTCGAATTTACTGCAGCCAAACTATCGTCTTCGCCAGAAACGAATTCCTTGTCTCTGCGAATAATTACAGTGATCGGGAAGGTTGCTAATGCTAGCCCTCTTGAAATTTATTAGACACTTCAGTCTTAGATGTACAACGAGGGCGTGAAGAACGGAGACGTTTTAGCCTTTTAGTCATGATTTTCATTTACTTTTGGCCAAAATAAATTTTTGAATCGAGTCAATCGAGATGATCGATACATAGTTGGCTACAAAATTTAATATATTTTATGCAATAAATATATATTATAATAAATAATATATATATAGTGAAAAAAAAATCATATGAAAAATTAAATTATGTATAAAATACATTGAGGTAACTGGATATTTTTAAGATTAATTATAGTTATGCAATATAATAACAGAATATTATATTCTGTTAAAGAAATTTTAAAATTGAACAATAATTAACAGCATAATTGTTGGAATCAATTTCGCAAAAAAAAAAAAAAAAAAAA